ATGGCCTCCAACCTAATTGCGATGGCCTCCAACCTGATAGCAATGGCTTCCAACCTACTAGCCATGGCCTCCAACCTAATAGGATATTTATGGCAAATGCCCGGTTGGACCGGACTCGTGGACACCCCTTCGGCCCCGGTCCCCTCAACGGTGCGTACCATCAATTCAGGCGGTGTGCTGACGGAGCGAAGCACTCGCTCCTGGTCAACGGTAGCATCACCCTTGTTGAAAAGCCGAAGGTCTGACTGGCCGAAAACAAAGGTTGGGCTGTTCTCGATGATGTTACATGTATGATCATGTATGATTATATATGATTATATAATAGTATAATGTCGTGGATGTCCATCGTGATTCTGCTGGCATGAAGCTGGAACCCCGCTGAGTTGTATGAAGTACCCTTTTGAAATCTGTTGAACCAAAATGAGTGCTATTATGGATCCGGATTGGTGTTCTCGCGAACCCCGAAAACATCAGGAAACTAGGAAACCGAAGGCCGATGAGGATGCATCCCATGCTGCCATGCTCCTTCAAGTCGATTCTACCATCAAAGGGATCATAGAGGTTCTTCATCATCACGTCCACGGCCATGGCATTTCTCAGGAAAAGGCAGTGTGAGGTTCGTGAGAAGGCAAGAGAAGAGGTCAAAAGGAAGAGTGCTTCATTAAGTGTCTTCGTTTTTCAGGTCAAATGGTGAACAGGCTGGGATGTTCTTGATTGGGTACGGTACCACTCACACAGTAGTGCCCCTTTAGAGGAAAAGTAGACCAACACCTTTCGTGCTCCTGGATTGATCATGTGTTCAGCCAAACCCCGTCAAAAGAGGGATTCTCCTTCTGCTGGACAAAGCAGAATCTTTCACGTCTGCACTGTGTGCTTCTCATGTCCCAATTTTTTGAACAGGCCAGTTGTGTGTGTGTGTGTTCCAGATGCTTCTAGGCTAGCAGCTGAAAAGGCGAAGTCCAGGACTAGTGATCGGACATTGTGTAACAGCCCAACTTAGTCCAGCACATGGTAAAGTCCCTGGCCGACAAGTCCTGGCACGCCAATTGCCGTGCGTGCACGAGTACTGTGCTGTGCGTGCACTCTTTCTTCGCCGGTCAGACAAGTCCAGAACACCCACCACCTAGGGTGAATTGGTACTGTCTATCGGCAGCGACCAATGGTTGAAACAACCGTGTACATTCGAAGGCAGTGGCAAATGAAAATACTCTAAACGTTACATGTTTTCATCTAAAAGTGAAAGTACTCACAACTTGCGAGTCTGCATTTTTCTGTGCGAGTCTGACTCTCTGACCTACAGATTTCCATGGCAGTGGATATCCTACCCACGCAGGTGAGTGGTCGTCGGACCGAGTTGAAACTTGTCACTTCATAGTTCACTGATGCTACAAATGGAATCATTTTGGACCGCTAGGACTCTTGCAACTCTTGCCTGCCCCGGTCTCAACCTTTCCATCGGGAAATTCTAAATCTGAATGCCAAGAGGAAAAGAAGACATCATGGAATGTCTATTATAAAGTTTAAAGTTTTAAGTATGGCTTTGTGCCGATCAAAGGCTCCCAGTAATGCCTCCTTGAGCTGGTCAGCTTTACGCACCTGACGGCCAAAGCAAGACTTCGAGCATTCGTCCACATTCTTCCCCTATGAAAAAAGCACATCATGACGTGCGTTGAGTCTCGTGCTGCCCAAAGCTCGCTCCTTCATCTACCTCTTACTCTTCGCACGGTCCCTGAGCTGCACCCCACAGCCCCTTTCACCGGCCTCTTCCTGCCGTGCCCCCTCGGTGCTCTCCGGTGCTTTGCGGATGAGCGCACACTCAAGCAGGACATCCTGGAGGTGGCCTTCAGAGGTGGCCTGGGTAATGCATAACCAATGCACACCATTGCATGCCATTGCATATTGAAGAGGATCTCTAAAAGCTGCAGGAGTCGCATATCTTTTGAAGATATGGGTGTGTGTATTTTGAAATGTTGAAAGGCAAACATCCTGGACCAATGGGGTAGACAGGTCTATTTAACTTCTTCCAGGGGTCGAACCAGGACCGCCTCCCTAAATTTACACACACACACCCATATCACAAGCATAGAGCAATGATTGGGTCATGGCGTGTCTTATGATGGTTTGGCCTAGTTTGTTGGTGGACACATGTTGTGTCTTGCAACGAGAACCTCGTACGGGCCGGGTTCATCTTGTTGAGTTCTGGCCAGCAACATCCCCTTCGTCCCTTCGTAGCACTCTGAACGTGTGTAGTCTGAAAGAACACTGTGAACACCAGAATAAAGGGCACAGCATGGTACTGTAAAGTGAACAACAGATCATCCAAACAAAGATAGTTGACATGCATTCAGGTCCAAAATCATTGCAGAATATGGTGAAAACAAGAGCATGTGGGCAAGGAGGATCTGGGTTGCTTTGCCCTGAGTCTCGATTTCAGCTTTCCTGTCTTCCGAATATAGAATTAAGCAAACGGTGTTGCAAAGCCATGAAAAGAAGGTTTTGCAAGTAATACTGAACAAGTGCTTTACAAATTGCCACACCATAGGGTAAATTCCCGGGATACGGGATACAGCATGTATATAATTACATCATGCAAGACTGCTTCAAGTATCCTTTCAAGTGAACGAACTAACTAAACACCCACACCTACACACAGATAAGACCTTGCCATACCAGCCAAGCGAACGCTATCTTCACTACTCTCGTTGAACGAAGAGAAGTTTCGGCACGCCTTGTGCCTCACAGTGATGACGCCGTACCTCAAAAAACAGCTCGCCAGGCATTGATTAAAGTGGTTAAAGAAAAAACAAATGTATTTCAGGATTCCCCAATTGCTAGGTTTGGTTTCTAAGTATATATAATTGTTTCGTTACTTCGTTATTGCCAGAAAGTGTAGAATTACATAGATCTACAAACCTGGTTACCTGACATGCTTGATGCCAAAAACTGGTCAAATGACACAACAAATGCGTGACATACACACAAGTATGTAGCTTCATCAGTCGCCGCTGTGCTAGCTGGGCCTAAATTACTTTGCCTACGATCGAGAAAAATTGCAAGCACCACTCCTCGTCCCAAAGAAAATGCCCTCAGACCGAATGCATTAAGAGTCCGGCTTGGCCCCTGCCATGATCGAACGTGGGTAGATCTGGCACGCTGGTGGGTCGACTTCAGGAGGGTCGACTTCCGCGGTTCTTGATGTTCTTGACGGGCTCGAAACTGAGGATGGATTTCAGAAACAACATGTTGGGTAAATGGGGGCGCCCCGCAACCCACAGCGCAACGGTTTGAAAATCATGCACGCTTTTCAGGTTGATTTGGGTTTGGGGTTAGTCGGATTATTAAACTGCAAGAAAATGAATTTGGCTGCGTTGACTTTGTTTTCTTATGCTTGGTCCTCAAGCCACTCCATCCATGATAGGTCATTGTACAGTTGACCAGGTCGACAGGAGTCTTACATGCCGATGACAATGTTGTGAAGTAGATGACAGGCTTCTGCGAAAAAACAATGATAAATAATGATGACCTCCCCCCACACTTGACCCAACATATTGGCAATGCGTTCGGCCTCCTGAAGTGCACTGGGTGACATTGTAGTGGCAATATCGACATCATTCCTGGCAAATGGGCAATGCCTGCATGTCAATCAACCAGAAGCTGTGGGGAAAACTTGGCCATTGATGGCACCTCACAAGGCTCCTGAAACTACAGAGGACAGGCCAAGCTCTTCTTCACCAGGCTCAGACGATACACATCTCAGACCCTCGCGGTTTGACGCCCAAGAGTACATCGCGTACTGCACCTCCCACGATCCTGGGCAAAGGCAAAAACACACCCTTTTGGGTGTCCATTTGATGTCCATGAAAACCTGGGATTTGTTGGGTAGAATTGCATAGAATTGCTGCAGATTATATTGATCCTCCATCCCGACTGCAAGCCTCTTGTTCGCATCTCATTTAGAGTCCTCTACCGAATGATATCAATTCTGTCTGTTTGAAGCTGCTTCAGTCGTTTAGATTCCTGTCTAAAAGGCTCTTGAGGCTCTTGAGCATACGCAAAGTCCCGCAAAGTCCACATGCGGGCGCATGCGTCTAAGTTCCGGTGCCAAGCTTTGTGGCCCTCGTGGTTCTCAATGGTGCGGATGACCTGCTCAGAGGTCCAAGAGGTCCAACAGGCCGCAGAGGTCGAAGAGGTCGAAGCAGAAAGCAAAATGAAACGCACATAGAATTAAAAAGAACACAGACAAAAAAACAGAAACCTAATTGCGATGGCCTCCAACCTAATAGCGATGGCCTCCAACCTAATAGTGATGGCCTCCAACCGGCCTCCAACCTAATAGTGATGGCCTCCAACCTAATAGCAATGGCCTCCAACCTAGTAGTGATGGCCTCCAACCTAATAGCGATGGCCTCCAACCAAATAGTGATGGCCTCCAACCTTATAGTGATGGCCTCCAACGTAATAGTGATGGCCTCCAACCTAATAGCGATGGCCTCCAACCTAATAGTGATGGCCTCCAACGTAATAGTGATGGCCTCCAAACTAATAGTGATGGCCTCCAACCTAATAGTGATGGCCTCCAACCTAAT